CGACAAAGACTTTGTCTGACCCTGTGCTGTGGACTGAGCGCTGTTTGTCCCGGTGTCTCTGAACCGCCCAAGGCCAACTGCATGACGATGCCAGGTAAAATACACAGAACACTTAAAATAAATGTTCACGGAAACAGGTGCTGTCGCAGTCCCGGTGAGTGCGTGGGGCCGCCGTGGACACTGCATGGAGGTGACTGGAGTTTTTACAGCTCTGGTCAAGTCCTTCTGACACACTGTGTCATATGTGACTCTCCGTGCAGGAAGGAGTCCCTACTCTCCTCTGCTTTCACTTTCTTCTTAAGTTATGTGCTGCTGGGGTTTGGAGACATCAAGTCAAATCTACAGAAACAAAAAACTATAAAATTAATTTTTCTCCTCTGGCCTGAGGAACCAGAAGACAACACGATTATGAAATCCGATGTCCCACAGGCCTGGGACATTTGTCTCCCTCATGTCATCAGCTCATAAAGTGTGAGTGAAGGTCAGAGAGAGAGAGAGAGAGAGAGAGAGAGAGAGAGAGAGAGAGAGAGAGAGAGAGAGAGAGTGATAGAGTTACAGGTTATGTAACTTCTACCACGGTAGTTTATAGTTAGTTACAGTTCCTCTCTTACTGTGGTTTATTCACTAAAGCAATCGTTCCATGAAAGTGTGTGAACACATGGAAATGTGGAGTGTAGACAGGATCAATGACCTGGTGTATTTGGTCTCCATGGGTTTCTCTTCCCAGTGGAGAAGGGGTCCACTGTGCTGAGACAATGACCCAGGTCCACACAGACAATCTCAGGACTATGGAATGATGATCCATGTAAAACACAACCAACTGGAGTCACAGATGATTATCTGGGATGAAACACTAGGAGTCTGAGTGTAAGCACAAGGCTGTATAGACAGATCCTGAGTGAAGAGCAGAGTCTCTATTTACAGGGGAGATTCCTGAGCATCAGGCTTGGCAGTGTGAGCGCCCCCTGCAGGTGGACACAGGAGCCTGGTGTATGTGGGAGTCTGTGTGGTGCTTGCAGGCCAGAGCCTCTACTTTAAAGAGAAGCATCTCTCTCCTTCATCCCACTTTTGCCATTGTATTTCCGGAAGTGACTTTTCTACTGGGAGGTCCAGGGTCTGACTTCTGAAGAGAAGAAGGAAGAGGAAGGGTGAGGAGAGGAGGAATTGTTTTGGGCTTTGGGTCTCTGCTAGTGTTTTGGGTTTTTTTTTTTTTTGTTTGTTTGTTTTGTTTTGTTTTTGAGACAAGGTTTGTCTCCTCAGGTCTGGCTATTCTGAACTTACTGTGTAGACCTGGTTGGCCTTGAACTCACAGAGTTCCACTTACCTTTGTATCCCATGTCCTGCGTTTAAAGGTTTGTGTCACCACACCTGGCCTTAGTTACTTTTCTATGGCTGGGATAAGACACTGTGACCCTAGCAACTTATAAAAGGAAGCATTTAATTTAGTCTTAACTTTTCAGAGGGTTTGAGTCCATGATGGCAGAGGAAAGGAGTGGTGACAGGAACAGCTGAGGCTCACATCTCTATCCACGAACAAGTGTCTGAGACACTGGGGATTTTTTTTTTTTGAGGTAATAATGGAAATGTAATGTTATATGTTCATACAGAATAATCTAAAAGCATGATAATTGATTACACAGCAGATGATATGCCAAAAATATAGTAAGTTTTAGAAAAGGGAACTACTTGTTTTTTTTTTTCATTTTTAAAAATTTGAATTAGAAACAAGATTGTTTTACATGTCAGTCCCAGTTCCCACTCCCTCCCCTCCTCCCCTACCCCCCCAACTAGCACCCTACCTATTACATATCCTTTCTGCTCCCTAGGGAGGGTAAGGCCTTCCATAGGGGGTCATAAGAGTCTATCATATACTTTGAGATAGGGCCTAGACCCACCCCCATGTGTCTTGGCTCAGAGAGTATCCTTCTATGTGGATTGGGCTCCCAAGGTCCACATCTATGCTAGGGATAAGTACTGAACTACTACAAGAGGTCCTGTAGATTTCTGAGGTTTCCTCACTGAAACCCATGCTCTGGGGTCTGGATTAGTCCCATGTAGGTAACTCAGCTATCAGTCTGGGGACCAAGAGCTCCCCGTTGTTCAGGTCAGCTGTTTCTGTGGGTTTCACAAGCTTGGTCTGGACCCCTTTGCCCATCACTCATTCTTCTCTGCAACTGGATTCCAGTTCAGTTCAGTGATTAGTTGTGGGTGTCTGCTTATACTTCCCCCAGCTGCTGGATGAGGGATATGGGGTGGCATATAAGTCAGTCATCAATCTCATTATCAGGAGAGGACATTTAAGGTAGCCTCTCCTCTGTTGCTTTGATTGTTAGCTGGTGTCATCTGTGTAGATCTCTAGACATTTCCCTAGTGCCTGATTTCTCTGTAACCCTAAAATGTCTCCCTCTATTATGGTATCTCCAATCTTGTTATCTTCTATTCTTCCCCTGACTCAACCTTTCTGCTCCCTCATGTCCTCTGCATCCCTCCTCTTCTTCCCTTCTCGTTCTCCTAGCTCCCTCCCCCAGTGGGAATCTTTTAATACCTCAATGCCCAGCCCAGTGAAACACCTCCTCCAACAAGGCCACACCTCTGATCCTTCCCAAACAGAGCTGGGGTATCTGGAGCTGAAGTATCTGAACCTCTGAGCCTGTGTGGCCATTCTCATTCAACCATCACAGTATTCAGTGTGGAATGTGGATGCCCTGCAGGGCTCTGCAGATGTGTCCCTGAGATCTGTAGACAGCACCCTCAAACAGGAGTTCTCCACTGCATTAGGATCTCTGCTTTCTTCTGTCACCTCCTGCCCAGCCCTTCTGTGTCTCCTCAGGCATCAACCCTTCAGTGCCCAGAACCCCTCATTCAAGCTCTGCACTAACCTTTGCATCCAGTTTCTATGGCTAGCCATCTTGTCAGCTATCTTGCTATGAACCAGGTTGTGTGGTTTCCTTCTGTAAAATTCCAATAGGGGCTGGAGATACGGTTCACAGGTTATGAGCACCTGTTCTGTTGAAGAGAATTCATGTTTAGTTCCCGTCAACCGCATGGTGCTTCACAACCATCTGGGAATCCAGTTTCAGGTGATCCTGGCACTGGATCACTGCATGCATACATGCATACACACATGCATACATACATAAAATATACATGCATCTAATAAAAATACACATATGCAGACATCTAATAAAAATAAAAGTAAAACTACATTTTAAAAGTGCTCCAAGGCTCCCTCTCCTACACATGTAGAGTGTGACACCCAGCATGAGGGTACAGGGCTGTTTAGTTACCATTGAACCACCAATTAGTGAAGTCAGAGCTGGAATGAGACAGGCACTGATGACTGAAATAGACTGTGCTGAAATGAGCATTAGCAAAACAGTATAAAGTTAAATATACAGGAAGATTTCATTTTATGGACATACTGTGCACGGTGGATCACAACCTCATTCCAGGAAGAAGACACTGAATGTGCTCATCTTTGCACTTGAGCCCTGTGTTGGTTTTTAATCGCTGCTGAACAAGATACACTCCAGTCAACACTTGAATGATAATTGTAAGAGATCACAACATCCCCAACATCCAGAAGGTTCCTGTAGCTAGTGACGTCCCCGTCCTCATCCTCCCTCCCACTTCAGCCCTTCTATGATCTGTCTTTTCAAGATCAAAGAGAATTATTAGCGTCTAGGGCAAGAGCCCCACCTGGGGAAGAAGAAACAGGACTGCTCTAAGCCCACATAGGATAAAGCTAAAGGGGGATCATGTCTGTCTGAGAGGTCACAGGCCCCTATCTATACAACTCCAAGGGTCTTGGGTCTGAGGCTGTGCTGCCCTTGTCAAACCTTCAGCCCGATAGAACTTTCTGTCCTTTTCCACCTGTGAGAAGAAAACCTGTTGTAAGAGGGTAGGGAGGAGGCAGAGCCATGAGGACCAAAAGGACCTGAAAAGCTTGGGACCAGGGAAGTTTCCAGAACTCTGAAACAGAATAGGACATCTATTCTTGGTTGTCAACCTGAGCATATCTGAAATTAACTAACACTGAAAAATGGAGGACACCCCTGTGAGGGACGTTTGCTTAATTTGAAGGCAGAAGGTCAGTTTCTGATCTGGATCTTTGTGGTAGGAAGACACATCATTAATTCAGATCTTTTGAGCTGGAAAAACCCATCTCTAATCTGGGCCACACCTGCTGGAAGTCCATACAAGGACGTGAAAGAAGGAAGGTTTTCTCTTGACTTGCTTGATCACACTTCACTAGCAAGTCTATTCCTTCCCTGGCATTAGAGCCGACTTCCTCAGGATTCTAGTGCATACTAAAGGCCAGCTGAGACAACCAGCCTGGTGGACTGACTGAGCAACTACTTGATTTTTGGACTTTTTATTTATAGTCAGACATTGTTGGATTAGCTGGACCACAGACTGTAAATTATTCTAATTAATCCCCTTTCTATAGATAGATACATAGATGCACAGACAGATACATAGATGCACAGAGGGATACATAGATGCACAGATGGATACATATCTAGATAGATTCAGTCTTTAAGTTCTGTTACACTAGAGAATTGTGACTGTGATGGTGACCCAGGAAAGGCTGAGGAAACACTGGGATGAGATATGGAGGAAGAAAACCAAATGCCCTCCTGGAGAACTGTCCTCAGTGAACACCTATCCCTCCATTCTCTGACTGCTGT